GTTCAGCTCCGCGATTTTGCCAAGACGGATACATTGGCCCCGGGCGAGAGCGCAACTGTGACACTGCAGCTGACCAGGAAGGACGTCAGCGTGTGGGATGTTGAGGCGCAAAACTGGGTCGTCCCTGGCGTTGGCGGAAAGCGGTATACGGTATGGATTGGCGAGGCGAGCGACAAGTTGTTTACGGCTTGCTATACAGATACACTGACGTGCGAGTCGGGATTGGCCAGTCCCGTCTGATTGTGGCTTATTCATTAACTTAATTATTGGAAAGAGGTTAGACCGGTCCGCGCCGGTTTCGTACCTAACTTTGGCTTGCAAGTAGTAGCAATCCGCAGGTATTGGTAGTAATGCATGCTTTATGATTTTTTTATTTTCCTTGGCTTCGCATCTCTGTGTTTGGAAATACTACCGCCGCCACTCCTGAGGTTCGTACGGTGCGTGCACGATACTCAAAAAGACTCAATTCTTCCCTCCTCACATCCATAGCCATAGGTCCAGGACCGCCTCTCATAATTGAATTTCGCGAGACTCTCTACCTATCACCTCCAGTTCTATTAAGTTGCATTTTCCACTCCAAGTACAGGATTATTTTTTCTTATTTGGAAGCACGTCACCCTGGGAATCAAGCCAGTTTCAACCAAAGCCATCAGACTAGGTAGGCATATACGAGCACTTCCGTTCAGGATCACCTTCCACAATGTTGTCCATAGTTTTCCAACACGAGAACAAGGGTTTTTTGGGGGGTGGGGGTGGGGGGGGGGGTTCCTTCTTTTTTTTTCTCTATGTTTTTTTTCAAGTATGACCCTTTTGGTTCTTTGGTGTCTTTCACTTTCAGTCCTTTTGGCATTGACTATACTACTTTTTATCTACCATTTACGAAACTGCGCTCTGTTTTATGTCATTTTACACATCAAAAGGAAAGAGTGAAAGAAAAAGAATGTCGATGTTTGTGCCGCCAAATCTAGGTAATGAATCAACCCCAGCGTTGTTACGCAACCTTGACAGAGTCAAACTGCTTAAAAAAGTTTTATATTCTTCTCCTTCCTAGCAGCCTAGGGAAGGGGGGCGGTGAGCAGTCATGGCGAGAGAGGGAGAGTGAGAGAGCTTCGTGAATAGCATTTTCATGCATGCCCCTACACATTTCTCCATCGATCTATCTTACCTCCCCTATCCATTCCTCTATTCCGCCGAAGCTGCCAAAACCAGAGAGGAAGTAAGAAAGGAGAAGAAAAAGAGGTTCCAGCGTTTTCGTCGCCCCGCCGCCGTTCTTCCTATTTACCAACTACACACACACACACCACTAACCCTATGGTACATTGCTCTGATACACTTTGTGCTCTTTCCACACTCTTCTTCATCTCTCTCTCTCTCCCTTTCTTTATATTTCACATTTCTTATTTTGTACACAGCCATTCTTTTCTCTCTCGCCCCCTTCCCTTCCCTTACACTTCCCCATTTCTTTCTAAAACGGGACAGGACGCGGGGCAACACCAAAAAGGCATTTAATATACAACTGACTACACACCCATTATATCGGTTTACAATTTTGTCTTCTCTCCCTCCTTCCAAAAGGCGAGGATATCAAGTTAAGCAGACAGCCTCTTCCGCCCCTTCTCCTTCCTCCGCTGGAGCGTCTTGCGCCCGTTCTTGGTCTTGATACGGCTCAAGAACCCGTGGCGGCGCTTCTGCACCAGACGGCTGTGGCCCGACATGGTCGGTCTTGGGCCGCAGCGGATCTGCGATGCAATACCTCCGAAGGCCGGGTGCGCCGAGATGGAGGACTTGGGGACTAAGTCCAAAACCTCGCCTTCGGCGGACATCGAGTTGGTGGCGGTGGCCGGTAGGCGCGCGAGGGGTGTTTGGGTTTGGCGGAAGATGCTGCTGGAAGAGCTGGAAGAGGAAGAGGAAAGAGTGGTGGGGCGCAAACTCGGGAGGTGGGAGAAGGACCTTTTGAGGAGACGAATTAGCTTTCCTAGTATGGAAGAAAGAGAGGAGATGTGCTGGCTGGCTGGCTGGCTGGCTGGGCTTACCGTGTGATCTGAGTTGTCTTCATCTTCGGCTTCGCAAGGCACCTCTGCAAGAGCTGCGACCTCGAGGGCTGCAGCGCCGCCTGCAGCAGCGGCGAGGAGGAGATGGCCAGTCGGGACATCCTTCTGGCTCGCAGACAGAGTGGTGTCTGTGTTGGTGTAATTGACCCTGCTGCGCTGTGGGCGGACCTAGGACGGTCAGCTTTGCGCGAGTCTAGAGAAAGATGCGTCGGTCGCGGCCTGAACTGGAAGCTGGAGGTTTAATGGATGGCAAGGTTGAATCGCGCCCGAGCTTCTTTTCGCAGCAGGCTGGCAGCCAGCTGCCGCAGAGCTGACGCCACCTGTATGTACACCCCGAACGAAACTGGGACATCATGTTGGACAACAGATATAAGACAGAACTGTATGAGGATTCGAATCATCATATCGGAATTTCATGTTATAGTCAATAAAAGTCTGCTTCTTACAATATATGGCAGTTTTTGTACAATTTCTGCTTCATTGATTTCATCCTCAATAGAAACCAACCTCCTTCTGTCATCAGGGTTAGGGTTCTGGCTGCTTTTTCCACTACCTCACCAGGAATAAGCCACAGGCCAAACGTTTAAAAAATGACAGTAAGTTTTTATCATTCCGCCTGTCTGGTATCATTATATATGTACATCATGCACTTGTCAGTTTTCATCCTCATCTTATCACACATCTTTTTACCCCCAAATCAAGCCCTCCCCTTGCCCTTCTTTGGTGGCTCTCGCCTCCTCTCCCAGATCTGCAAGTATGTCTCCCCCAGGTACAACAGCTCGCTCCGGATCTTGTCCACAAACAGGTCCTGTGCGACGACCCACTCGTCCCGGGCCTTGTCGCGCAGCTGGACCTTCCATGTCTTGCGCTCCTCGCCGCTGTCCGCCACGTCGTCCTTGGCCCGCACCGCCTCGTGTACCACGTTAGCCACGAGATCGTACCAGATGGGCTCCCCGGGGTCGTGGTGTGACGGGTCCGGCTCCACGTAGGGCGACATGTTCAGACGGTGTGCGTCAAAGGTCACTATGGTGGGGTTCCGTTCGGATACGAATTTGTTTTGGCTGAAGCGCTTAACGTGGAACATGAGGAAAGGTGGGAGAGGGTGCATGAGCCGGTAGCGTTTACGCTGTGCATTGAGCTCTTGCGCGGTTACGCCGTTGTATTTGGCGAGGATGGTGGTGAGCGGCACTTGCGGGATGATGTTGCGCTCCTGCTCGTCCTGGAACAGGGGCGCCGCCGGCAGGTCGAGCGTCAGGAGGAGGAAGCGGGAGACGTCTACTTTGACTTCGGCTGCCTCCTCAAAGCGCAGCCGGTCGCCCGCGTCAGCTTTGGCGGTGATGACTTGCGACTCAACCTTGAGCTTGCCCTGGAACACGCGCTGCACCATGCTGCTCCCAGCTTTCGTTTTGCTGCCGCCCAGCCCCAAGTGCAGGTTGTTGAGAAACCAAGACAGAAACTCGACTGGATCTGACTGCGTTGTCAAGGTAAACCGTTTGTTGGAGCGCAGGGAAATCTCTTGCAGCAGCTCGTGGGGCGAGACGTGGGATTTGAACGCGCGCGGGTTCCAGATCTTGCGAAACAGAATGGACGTGCGCTTGACCAGCTCGTCGGCCGAGGCCCCGTTGAAATCCTCGAGCAGGAAGTAGTTACGCAGCGGCGCGGCATGCGACAGCGCCTGGACGACCACGTTGAGGTAGTCGTTCTCCTTGATGTTGTTCATTCCCACGAATCCAGGCGTATACTCCTTGCCGGTAAGCGTAAAAGATGTGCGTGGCGTGCGGTCGATGCTCATGACCTCCTCCTTCGTATAGCGTGGGTCCGACACGTACTTGATGTCGTCGAGGGACTTGCTCTTGACCTCGTACCCTTCCGGCAGAACGTAGACTTTCTGAGTGCTCATGTTGATGAACACATGGTGGTCCTCTTCGAGCGCATGGAAGTAGGCATGCGAATTGGGGCCGCGGCCCTGGAAGTACTTCCCGCATGTCAGGCAGGCGTAGACGTTGATGTTGGACAGGCTGGTGGAGCACAGCTTCTCGAAGTCAAAGTCGAGCACGTTGCGGTCGATGGTGTCGAGATAGAGGTCGTCGTAGCCGGCTGTTGGCGCAGCTTGTCGAATCGGCGCCTTCTCGTTGACTACGTCAACAAAGTCGTCGTCTTGCTCCTCCTCTGCGCCGTCGCTCTCCATCTTGTCGAGGCCATTTTCCGGGCTCTCGTAACTACTGTGAACAGGTCAGCATTTAGAACCGTGCAGAATACCAAGCAAAACAAGAGAAATGCGGCGCATACAGGTTACTGTGTCCATTCTCGTGCGCGCTGTTCGGGGTTAGGCTCTTGTTGTAGTCGTCTATCCGGGACCTCTTGGAGGCGGGACTGTCGATCGACAGCTCCTCGAGGGCTTCGTGCGCGGGGCGTTTCGACATGCCGCCAAATAGCGTGGGCCGGGTTGTTGGGGTGTGCGATCGCAGGCTCGAGCCTAAGTTCAAGGACGGCGAGGAAGAACGTGTTGGAGATTGGCGGAGGGTTTGTCGGGAGTTCTGAAGGTTGAACAAAAGTGTGTCTTGTCGCGGTCCAGGCCAAATTTACTTCGTCGGCTGGTTTGGCTGCCTGCCACCCTGCCTTTAAGGTACAATCATAGTGTTATCGGTCGCTCACACTGTGCTAGGCTCGATCTCAGACACTAACCCTAACCCTCATCGCAGTTGACTTTGGCCGCCAGCCCCTTTTCATCGTGACATCACGGTGCAACTATTTCTTTCATATAAGTAACACTCATAGAGAGTTTCGCTTTAATATAAGTATAGCAGTATCCACTCTCACAGTAGGTATAGGTTTTATATTGATATAAAAAGTGCATGTTTCAGATTTTGTTTTAATATTGGGTGGTGGAAACTGGTTTCTGTGGTAAGGAGTGGGTTAGAATCGTCAAAAGTCAACAACAAGGAATTCGGCTCAATGGTCTAGTGGTATGATTCGTGCTTCGGGTGATCTTCTGATCCCATTGCTTGCCCACAAGTAACAAGACTGTGCGAGGTCTCGGGTTCGAATCCCGATTGAGCCCTCCTTCATATTCAAATTTTTGAACATCTTTTGATGTTTCAAGGGCAGGTGACTCATACTTGAAAAGAATTGGTTGGCGCGCATCTATCATTTTTTTGGTTCACCCATACTTTTTGTCCGGTTCAGTCATCATCCCAGTGTTCTTATCCTCCAACACCAACTCGATTCTCCCACTACCAGGCTCCACCTCTCGTACATACGCCGTCATCCTCCAGGTGCTCCACTTACCCACTCCTGTTCCCGTGTTCTTGAGCAGCGGCGTGGGAGTCGAGTTCGTGAGTAATGAGGCCATCTCCCCAAGCTGAGACCAGACGCCACTATTCCACAGCCCATTCACCATCACCGTTACCAAGTGTATATACACCAAGAGAACGTGCAGAAGCAAAACAGCCCACGCAACGCACGTCGTGGTTTCTTTGAAACTGTAGGCATAGACGTCATGGTAATACCAGATCTCAGCCCTGGCATAGCTGGAGAAAGAACCGTCGTCAAAATGCCATTGTCCCGCTAGGCGTCGGTTCTCGACTCGCCATGGCCCATGCGAGGAATCACCAGTCATGGAGTAGAGGCTATTTCTGGGAATCACAGACATTGTGCGTGTCAGAAAGACCGCCAACGCACCGGCTGCTTTGGAGGAAATCTTGAAAAAGTCGTTATTCGAAGCAGTAACCGATAGTTTTATTAGGAGGTCAAATGCGTATTGTGCCGGCTCCAGTCGTATTTTCCTGCATTCTTGGGCGTTGTTTTGGCCCATCACCCAATCTTGTTCCTCCAAGCTGGAGTTGGTGACGAGAGTGGTGTTCAGGAAATTCAGCCATTCCAAGTCGAGAACAACAAAGTCCCCAGAAGAGTCTTGGTATTGTGTGATGATGTCTCGGCTTGAGGGAATGCACTGAGGTGTTGGCGCTATATCCTCTGGGTTGATCCAGAGGTCAGAGTTCACCCAGCGTGCGTCAACTAGACATATGACGTTCGATTTGTATGGTGATCCCACTGCTAATCCTTCATCGATAGTTTCTTGAATGAAAATTGCTGCCGATGCCTTGATATCGCGAGGAAGGTATTCATTAATATCAATGAAGACAAGACTGGCCGGTGATTTACCGATGACAGATTTGCTTACTGTCAGGTTAAGCTCGGGATAGAAGCCTGGGCGTATATGCCAAGTGTACGAATTCTCGGAAGATATATCTGTAGCATTATCGGAACACTGCAAGATGACCCGAGGCTGTTTGACTGGAATCTCGTTGATATTCTGGTCAAAGATTTTGGTGCGTAGCTTTGCCGGGTGGTAATTCGTATTGCGAGACCAGTCTCTTGCTGCCGATTGCACCAAGTTGAACAAATCGTATCTGATAGAGGTGGCGATATGCAAGTGTTTATAGTTTTTGTTCGTCGTGGAGTTGGTATCGAGGGTATGGGATATATAGTCAACTCCTGCGACCGTTGCTGGGCTCTCAGAAACCAGAATATTCATCGACAATGACGAGAAGCCCGTGCTCCTGGCATTGTTGAAGTCGAGATATGGACAGTAATCAAAGGAACTGCAATTGACGGACGAACAGCAATCCGGAACACCAACCATATCGATCCGAGGCGGGTATAGGCCTGACGCCGGGGAAACGAGAAGGCCATGAAATTTAGACACCCGCACCTGGTCCATGAGCAGCGAGGTTGCCGGTATTTCGTGCCATCCTTGCCTGGGGAGCATTATCGTACCAGAGCTCGCACCAGAAATAGCGGCGAGAAGAAATGCCAGAACCAAGAGAACCCGCAAGCCGAGGGATGAAAGTGTGAGAGAAAGACGATCTTGAATTAACGGAGCCAGAAAGCTTGGACTGATCACGTAAAAAGGCGAACTGAGCTGGAAAGCCGAAGTCAAGTATCCAAACGGAACACCTTGGGGACCCAGGAGCGCTCGTCGAATATGATAGCTGACAATGTCGAATAATGAGGAGATTATAAACGATTCGTGAACCTTTGCTGCGAACTGCAATGCGCTGAGCTGGTTGGCGGTGGGGAGCCAGGAAACATGGTTAATGTATGGGTATAGAAGGCCCAGGGTGACCGCTATAGCTGGAAACTGGAAAATTAAAAGCTGTAACAGGGCTCTTTTTTTGCTGTGGGTTGAAACTCGCTTTGGCTGTTCGACCCTTTGAACATTGTCGGGTTCGATTATTTCTTCAACGCTTTCTTTAGTCTTTCTACCGCCATCCTTCTTCGTGGTTGCATCACTGCTCTTTTCCATAATTTCCCTAGCCCCCTTAGTCCAATCGTGGCTAAGATTGTCGGATGAAGGTGTGTCCATGGTTCGTGTGTGGCAAATTGCTGCTCGATGAAAGACTGGTCCTTTAAGTGTTACTCGTGGGATTTATGGTGGCGGTAAGAATGGGTTATCCGATACTAAAGGGAAGAATGCGTCCGGATCACAAAATAAATGCCGGAGTCTTGGCCGCAGAATTAATTAAAAAGAATCTCACTGCGTTAATGATGCAGGGCTATTAAGAACCTCATAGGATGCGAAGCGAAAACGGACGGGTATTGGACAGCTGCATGTATAGCAATAAATAGACAAAAACATACTATGCGTTCACTTAACGGCTGCCTCGCAAGGCTCACCGGGCTTCTCCCATGATCAAATCCTGGTTCTGCAACGAGTCCACCGACGGAGGAGCGAGGCTGTCCATCTCCGAGAGCGTATACTCCACCAGGTAGCTTTCGTCAACTAATTCGTCCATGCGCTTATAGTGGCGCTCCGTATAGACCTTGAGCGCGTTGAGCACCTCCTTCAAGCTGCGCTGGCCCTTGGCGCCTTTGACAGACAGCGTCGAAAACTTTGAGGCCGGGTGGCTCTTAACAAGAGTCCACAGAATTCGCTGGGCCACCGGCGCCGTCCTGGCGTTGGTGTTCCAGTCCCGTAGCCTCAGGAGAAGCATAAAGATTTGCTCGTCAGAGAGACTGGCGAGCACCTGATCCACCGCCTTCACGCCAGAAAAGCTGCCGGCTTCTGGTGCATTGGTCGTTACCACGCTTGTGAAGAGACTCAAGAGTCGCCCGGGGTGGTTGAGCTGGAGCGCGAGGACGATAGCATCGCGGTATGCCCCTGCGTGAATGTAGTTCTCAAGCTCTTGTTCCTGCTCTATCAGCTTAAAAGCCGCCTCGGATACGGCTTCCTGTGTTTCTACTGTTGTATCCTTCCAGAAAGTGATTTTGGAATCGCTGCCACCCGAGACAAGAGTATTGGTTTTGGGATGAACGGTTAGGGTCCAGAGTCTGTCCTCATGGTTGTCTAACGTGCAGTCTGTTTCACCGACATTTGCGTCCCAAACTTTAACCAAGCTATCGGCTCCAGCACTTGCGAACTGAATACGCTTCTTGGTCGACTTCTCGTCGGTTGGGATGTCTAACCATACAACCTTGAGAACATTATGCGAGTGCCCCTCAAACGTTCTCAAGCATGTGTAGTCTGACAAGCTCCAAAGTTTGATCGTCTTGTCACCACTTCCGGTGAGGATAACTCCTTTCCCAGACATAGCGCCCGTTTCACCTTGAATGGATGGCGTATGGAGGGGAGCAAATCTGACTGTCCACACACCTCTGCGGTGGCCCTTGAGAATACCCTGTACTTCGAGCCTCTCTACATCCCAGATTTTTACTGTCTTATCCTGAGACGCTGAGGCAAATAGCCTCCCCGAAGGGCTAACGTCTAGAGCGTTAATATCTTTTTCATGCGCCAATCGGCGCAGAGTGGCAGAGGGGATGCCAGTGTCTTGTGATTGCCGCGGGATGTCCCGCTTCTGAACGAACCGATCCTGGGAACCGGTGATAAGGAAAGCGGGCGGGTGGTCGAGAGGGTTCTTAAATGCATCTGAAGTTTCTTGGGGCACTGTTTTGGGGAGAGCAACCGCTCCAACCGACTCTAGATGGCCTGTGAAAACGGCATAGCAGGTGTAGGAATTGTTCGCAGCATCAACACGCCAGAGACGCGCCGTGTTGTCTTTCGAACCACTCGCAACCCAGTGACCTGACCAGTCAACATCCAAAGACATAACAATATCTTCATGGCCCTGCAACAATGCAACGTCGTGTCCGAAGTAGGCTGCATCATCTTCCGTAGTACCTTGGGACTGGGTGTCGGCTACGGAAACAAGCCTGACATCCTCGGAGTTGGTCGCCAGGGCCATAACTGACCGGTCGGGAAGTACATATACGAGATCTAAGATCTCATCGTGAGTGCCCGAGATGCGCCTAAAAGGCTCTATTAGTGGCGCTGGACTCGCCTGGATGTCTGCTGCTGAAGGTATCCGGTAGAATGCGAGCGTAAAATCGGATTGCGTGCACATAATCAGAGACTTGTGTGGTACTGAAATCGCGTTTGTAATCTCTTCTTGCTCGGACTTGGGCTCTTGCTCTTCCGTGATCTCCTGGTGTGTCGTGGTGTCCCACAGCCTCAGGAGGCCGCTCGAGCCGGCCGAGTACATTAACCTTCCTTGGTTGAGGAATCCTACTGCTTCCACAGACTCATGGCGCAGCATAGGAGTTCCGTGCCATCCGTCGTCTCTCCAGAGCCAGAGAGTCATAGTCTTATCCCTGCTACCGCTGAGCAGCGCGTTATGCTCTGGCGAGTAGTCTATACTTCGAACATCGGAGTCATGGGCCTCTTGCTTCCTCTTGGAGTCAGAGTAGATGGCGTATGTGGTACGCTTCTGGAGGTCAAAGATCCGGATCCTGCCGTCTTGAGCTCCGTACGCCAACCGGAACCTGGCGGCGACAGAGTCGTCGTCCTGCCTTCGGCTGTCGTCCGCTTGCCCCTTTCGCAGGTTCTTCTTCGATTTGCGGTTTCCGGCGCCATTGTCTGCCGCGGCAATCTCGAAAAAGTACATGGCTGAGATGAGAACACTCGAGCCGCTGACTGTGTGGGTGACATAGCCGCCTGCAATATCCCAGATCTTGATGGAGCCGTCGGCAGCGCCCGTAGCCAGAAGGGTGCTGGTTTTGTCG